AAAATGATAATATTTTTGGATATACTAGGCTCATAAGATGTAAGTCTATTAATAATCACCCTTTTTAAAACTCCTGTAACATGGCCATTGGAGAGGTCTCAATTGCACATGACTTTACTCATACTATATTTTTGCTGGACAATGATGAGCTAAAGCTGTAATCAATCCACTTGGCTATATTTTCAACAGAAGTTAGTACTTATGTGCACCATATTTCAAGCACAAAAATATTCTTAGCAGTGTGCATAGTAGCCAAAAACTGAAAACAACTCCAGTATGTATTACTAGTGGGATGGATAAATCAATATCCATTTATTTATTTAGATTATATGATATGATTGCAATATGAAATATTTAGCAACAAAGTAAATTATAGATACTTGTAACAAAGATGACTCTACAATGTTAAGTGAAATCATCTCATTTGATTCCATTTATATAGAGCTTGAAAATAGAGGAAAATAAGCTACAAAATTAGAATAGTTCACTTCATGGAGAATTTTGTTTGTACACACTGGAGGGAGGCTTTGGAATATTGGAAATATTCTGTAATGTGAACAGGTTACATGAATGTGTGTGATAATTTGCGGGGTAATGTACATTTATTTACATTATATGCATGTTTCTGTATGTATATTCTGCATAACAAAAATTAACAGGGCTTACTGAGGCTCCTAGAAATTTATTGCAAATGACTCAATAAATGTAAGACCTTGGAAATAGTGCTTCTTGTGGCCAATCCATCCACAGAAACGACAGAAAAGCAAAATAAGAACTGTTTTTTAAAGGCCATATTCTGCCAAGTAAGGAAACACTGATACTTTCTAAATAGTTCCAGGCATAACTCACCAGTTTAAAATTTGGATCTTTGATCGGTCACTAAGATTGGCATGAAAAGCTCCTTCCTGAAACTACATCAATAATGTTGACTAAAATAAAATACAGAATTTGAGAACTGCAAATTTTATAGGGGTCATGTATCCTCCATTTATGAGCTGTGACTACTTTGTGAATCTGATGGACTCTTGGAAATACCTTTATCTGTGGTATACACAATATTAATATACACAATATATCACACAGCACTTTGGGTGGTCCATTGTGGCAGTTTATTGAATCTAGGTTACTTGGTACATAATGACCTAAGGTCAACGCGCCCAAGAGACAACACTAGTTAGTAGAACAATCTAGATCAGGCACTGAAGGCTCTAAATTTCCAAACCACTCTTTATTCTTTCACATGAAGAATTCCACTTCCCTCAAGACACCTGGCTACATATAAGGCACAGAGACATAAGGTAAGCATCTGTTGCATTAAAGGGACACGCAAATATCTAGCTCAAACTTCATAATAGAACTGTATAGCATCACTACAGGGTTATTATGAACTCAGATTATCATGTCAGTCTGACCTAAATCTGACTCTGGCCTCTGTCACTAACTATACGTTAATGGGTATATTACTTAAACCAGCTTTCACTTGGGAAATCAGATAACCCCAAATGTACTTTATGGAGATCTTTGTGGGAATTAAAGGGCATAATCAATGTAAAATATCTCAAGAGCATCTGGCACAGGAAAATATCCCCAAGTGGCTATGATTGATGTGAGGGCATAGTGAATCCTGAATTAAAAATTAGTTCAACTTAGAATTTTAGAATAAAATGGATAGCTAATCCAACTGATTCAGAAATTTATACATTGCTGTAACATTGTGCAATTGGTTGGTTAAATTATTCCAATAACAGAGAATTCCCTATAAGCAACTAAAGTAGCTCTGTCTCAAAGTTCTTCCTTGTTGTGAGGTTGAATTATGTAAAATGGTTGCTTGTACATCAAATAATGGACTATCACAATTTCTCATAAAATAACCACACATACAGGCCAAGGAGAGAGCTCAGTGGCATAAGCACCTGCCTAGCAAGCGCAAGGTCCTGAGCTCAATCCCTGGTACCAAAAAATAAATGCTCATGCATATGACTTTGCTACTTCTTTTAACAGCAGACCTTTAAAAATAATGGGGAGTTAATGTTCAATACCAGAGACCTAGCTTTTGCCCTCACATTTGACAAAAAGACAAGAAGGAAACAGGCAATCAATCATGTATAATTTTCCATATCAAGGACATAGAAGAAGCATGTTTCAAATTGCTCAATAGGAGAAATCCCAATAGAATATATATCAATGTGAAGATTTGAGATTATGAATCAGAACTGTCCCAACATAACTTTTGTGTTGATGAGAATATTATATATCCACTGTCCAATACAAAAGCCATTAGCCTCACATATGGTGACTGACATGCATGACTAGTGTCACTTGACTAAGAAAATGATACTTAGCTTGACTTAATTTCAATTCATTTATTATTTTTTTTCTTTTTTTTGATAGGTCTTGCTCTGTAGTTCAGGCTGGTCTTGAATTCACTATACAGTCCAGGCTGATCTTGTACTCAAGGTGATCTGCCTGTCTCAGCCTCCCAAGTGCTGGGATTACACAGGTGTATGCCACCATGACTGCCTGGCTCAATTCATTTAAATTTAAATAGCCACATATGGCTAGTGACTACCAGATCAACAGAAAAGATAAAGAACAGAAGGAAAGAGGCAAGAGATGAAGCTGGAAAAGTCAGCAGGATCTTGATTACAAGGAACTCAGAGAATCACATTATTAGCAGTGGACTTTATCCTGAGAGCCATGAAGAACTTCAGAAGGGCAAACTCCAGGGAGTAACACTATCAGACATGAGTTCTAGAAAGAAAATTGTGGTTTGCCTTGAAGAGATTGACATGAAATGGGTAAAATACCTGTGTTGACTTCAGGAGTTTGCTCTCTTACAGGACAGAACAAAAGAAAAGCATCTCACATATATTTCAAAGATACAAATATACAACTGATCACACCCAGTCACATCCACTATCCACGAATGCATTTATATATAGGTTACACAGTGTGCTGTTAACACTTAAGATTTATAGCTCTTCCTTTCCCTGTTGTTCACGAGGTATCTTCCTCAACTATTGTGGATGAGCTCTATTTGAGAACACTGCTGCCATATACTCAAATCCCCACCTGAGATCACAATTAAGTATGTCAAAGTTCGTCACACAGCACCTCTACAGTTCTTTGTTTTCTCTGTACCTTTCACTCCGCTCTTCTGAAGATCTTTATTATTGAGGCTGCTTTGCTTGTGGTCGTGTCACTGACCACAGTGTTCCCACTAATTTTTAAAGTGTCAGAAAAGCATTTTATTTTCTTTGGGAGGAGGAGGAAGTCCTCACCTGAGAAATATAAGCCACACTTCTCTAATTATCACCTATTGGGTAAAACAAAATTACTAAAGTGACAAAAGCAGGTCCTTAGGAACTAATGATGGTAAATGGTCACTGGCTCTTACTTACAGAATTTTATCTTTCCTTCTCTAGGAACTGGTACCAACGCATGCACACGCATCATATCCCTCACCTCCTCCCTGACACGCAGCATGCAAAGGCATTTGCCCTCTGCACAGAGACCTTTGCAGCATCTAGTACTTGAGAAACACATCCATGCAAGGCTGACTTCTCCTCAAGATCAGCCATGAATGACCCTGCAGAAGAAACGTTTAAAGAAGAACATAAGCAACAAGAACCCGTCAGATACAGCGCATATGGAGCTACAGCAATAACACAGCATAATATGAAGCACCTGTTCTTTGATGCCAGATTCAGACCTCAGCCTGGCCACTTTACTGAGTGGTTGTGGGCAGACCACTTAACTTCTGTAGACATAAAAATAACACCCTTGCTTGAAGGAAATAATAGCTTATTCTGAGCCAAATATGAGTGACAACGGGAACATGGATCAAGAGAGTCCCCTAAGGGTCATGGTTTTCCATGAAAGAAAAGTCCCAAAAGAAAGTAGGTGGGAACATCAAAGAGGTGGAGCTTTGTAGGTAGACTACAGGAAGCAGAGAGGACTCTTTTATAGGCTTTAGATGTTATCTTTAACAAGGTAGAGAAATCTGCTATAGGATTGAGGTGTTATTACAGTCTTGACATCAGGGTAAGTGAAGGCCAGATGTCTTTGAAACTGAGTATATGTTCCAAGAGTTTATCTAATAGTCATAAAAATTCTTGGGCACATAGGGAATTGATAGTAAATGATTATCAACAAGGAACAAAGGTAACCAAGGTTGCTTTGGCTCTTGTTTCACAACGTTCCATCTCTCCACAACCATGATGCCCTGGGCAACAAGGTTACTCTGCAGGGTCTTGAAAGCAGAGGTTGGATATAGAGGGCCACACTTGTGAACCTCAGTTTTCAGTTCCAGAAAATACCTCCAACTTGGCTGGCCTTGAAATCAATATGTAGTCCAGACTGGCTTGCATTTTCACGTGTTCTTCCTGCCTCAGCCTCCCATATGCTGAGTTTCACAAACTCTGCTATGCCTGGCTAAACAAAACAAGCAAACAAACAAACAAAAAACAAAAACAAAAACAGAAAACACGACTTTTGGAGGGCTGAAAAAACTAAAAATCTCCTACTCGCAATGGCCGTATGCAGAAGGTGCTCAAGAAACGAAAGCTGCTGTTACTGGTGGAGAGTCAGAGCCCACAGGCCTTGGAAGGAAGGCTAGCACATGCCTATTCCTACGCAGGATGGGATCTTATAGATGCCACCCGGGTCGGACCTAGTATGTGTTCCTTATTTAGGCAGAGACAGGAAGTGACTAGATGAGGGTCGCAGAGCAAAGGAATGAGAGCCAACCCAAGATTCCAGGTATGTCTGGAGAGGGTCAGTCCGATGTTCCTTTCTTTAAGGGGACTCCACTTATTGGGAAACGACAATCCGTATTCCTCTTCTGCCGAGTGCAAGAGAAAGACGGAGGGAAACTGTTTTTGGAGAAAGCACGGATTCCCCGCCGCCTCGTCGCCATGGCAACCCCAGTTTGGTCCCGGAGGAGATGCTCTTCCGGAGGCCCCGCCCCTTCACGCAGCGGACGTGACACGTGCGGCGGGGTCACGTGTTGTTGTTGGGCCGGGGAAGCTGCTTCCGGGTCAATGCAGGACACTGGGCTCCGGCGGCCGGAGCGGGGGCCGAGGTGAAGCGCAGCCGGGCCGGGGCCGGGCGGGAGCAGGCCGGAGGCTGAGTGGCGGCGGCCGGGAGGGGGGAGGAGAGGCGCAGCCGGAGGA